CCAAAGACCGGTTCCTTCTGATAACCTGTCTAAAGTACATGAGACAAAAGTCTCGCCATTTTCACATCTAAGGAGGCCTCTGGCTAACTTGCAAGGAAGATTTGTTTGTTCTTCACACCTCAGTTCAACAGCATTCAGTCTGCAGCTTCCAGGAACCACCAACCTCAGGCTGACTCTCAAGCCAAACTGTCCACACCACACCTGGGGGCCTTTTTTTGGCAGTATAATTCACCTGTGACACAACTCAATTGTTCAAGGGCATTAAGCAGCTTTGTGCAATCACTACAATCAATTTTAGAACATTTTCTTTCTTGTACTCAACATTCTCTTCTTTGTACCCATTAGCTTCCCATCTCCCTCCAAACCTCCCTGCCATGTCCCTAGGTAATTATTAATCCAGTTGCTGACCCTGTATATTTACCTCTCCTGGATTTCACAAACAGAAAAAAAAAAACATACAAAATTGGGATTAAAAAATAATAATGGCAAAATAAAACAGAAAAACTTCAACGGAAAGAGAAAAGCATAAAATACTAAAATCTGGAACAAATTTAAAATAGATCAAACTGAAAAAAAAAATCTCACCACCATTATGTAGGTGCTGATTCATAGCGACCCTGTAAGACACGGTCGTTAACTCTTTAGGGAAGTAGAAAGCCCCATCTCTCTCCCCATGAGTGGTGGTTTAGAACTGCTGACCTTGCAGTTATCAGCCTAACGCACAATCATTACACAACCAGGGCTCCTCAAACTGTCCAAAACTCACCTCCTCGAGTCAATGCTGACTAATACTGAGCCCCCGCGGGTCTCTGGGCCATCTTTCTCCCTCTGAGCTGCTGCTGTTTCGGACTGCTGACTTTGTGGGCCACGGCCCAGTGCACACCCACTACACCCCCAAGCAATCCAAAATAGGTCAAAAGGGAGATCAAATAAGGTGTTACGCCTTAGCCTCATTCCATCTGTCATCAACTTGACAATGCTCCTGGACAGCAGGGCTCATCACATCTCTGGACTGTCATCAAAAGCTCAATGTTCTTGGGACCCTGCAAGTGGATTTGGGGCTTCCACTGTCGACCACAGCCTTCTATAAACTGAGTGTTCAGCATTCAACTCACCATTCCCTCCCCTGGATTTGGACTTTATTATTTATAAGCCTTGAGTCACACAGGCTGGTGTGCTTCTTCAGTGCCACCCAGGGTACCTTTAACCTTTATACGACACTGTGTTTTCCTCTGTGGCAGCAAAACAGTGTAAAGGTCTGTGATTGCTAAACATTGTCCCTTTCGCTGGAACATCAGCTCTATGACGAGGGGCACCCTGTCCATCTATTCATACCACCACCAAGCACATATTAGCTTCTTCAGGATGATTAGCTAGATGGATAATCAATCTTCCAAAGCGATCTTGAAGATAGAAGGGGAATACTCCTGAATACCAATTCTTCAAACACCAACCCACCTTCCGCCCGACCTTCACAACCAGCAACAAGCTTCAAACCCGTGTCAGCTGTTTATTATTCATACAAATATTTTACATTTTTATTTTTAAATCATATACACATTCCTACAGATAAAAATATATTTCAGGATGGAACTTTGAGACCATGGTAGGTTTTAAAAAAAAAAATCTCTCTGATCATTAGCTACTGAGACAAGGCAAGAGGCTTAGCAGTCATTTCTGGGGGCTTGCATATCTCCACGCAGGAGCATTGCGAAGACTCCAAGGGGCTCCTTCATCTTCCCTTACTCTTCACCTTGTGAGGTAACAGGGAGGCGGACTTGTTTACACTCTCCCCTAGAAACAGTTCAAGAAGGACGACAAAGACATACAATAACACTGGTGCCCCTCTTTGAAAGAATTTGGCAAGGCTGTGATCCCCAAACTCCCCAAATGCTCAACTCCCACAAACAGGCCTTTGTAAGAGGTGGGTTTGCTGCCCTCACAGCGGCACCCTGCTCACTAGGGTCCTCCCACCAAAGCCCCTAGAACAGAGCCCTGGATCTGGCCCCATCTGGTCCCCTCTAGTCTCAATCCTCACAGCACCCACCCCCACACACTCTGCGGCATTTGGCCCTGGCCCCTTGATGATCCACATCTAAGCTTCAGCGCACGCCCACAATGATTATGGTGCCAGCATTTCTGCTTGCAGTACCATGCAGGGAATCTGAGCAGAAGACCAGGAGAAGGCCAAGTATGCCAGAACCATGAACATCTCTTCCAAAGGTGAGCTCCAGCCCCTAACACACCTCCTCCCAGCTGTTGTCATCGTTGGAGAACCTTCAACACGTCACTGACTACAGATGCTACACTATCAACTCCCAGAAAAGTGGGGGGACGGGACACAACAGACATTACAAATGGTGTAGGCCCTATAAGAAATGGCAGCTGATGGTAACAGATACCCCCTATCTTTGGGTCCTACCCAAAAAGCAGCACCAAGAAAGGGCATGATGGGCAGAGAGATCGGTCGCTGGATGTGCACGCGGCCCTTGAAGTACCAAGGACAGAGAGCACACAGCTCCTTGTCCTACCGTCACGTAGGGACTAGAACACGGACTACCTGACCCTATCCTGAGGCAGCTCCTGAGAGGTCGTACCGCTTATGGTCATCAGCCCACCCCCTTGGCAGGCCCGTTTGGGGAGAGGGAGTCACAGCCAGCGCGGGGACCCCTCCAAGCAGACACTCACAGGGCAGCCCATCCCACTGTCACTGGGGCATGCCAAACAAATCGAGGAGCATGGACAAATCCCGGGCATCCGCTGCCCCATAGGCATCGCTCTGCCCTAACATAGACAGCGCCAAACGCAGCGTGCTCCAGATGTTCTCTGACATGGCGCCCCCTGTGCCCCGAGGGCCCCGGCTTTTCCTCTGCATGTTCAAGGCCTCCAGAAAGTGCTCGGCAGCCTCCCTGTAAGGAAGAAGCGGAGCGAGAGCTGGTGAGCAGAATGGCCCTGGACGGCGGGCGTCTGTTGGCATCGGGAGAGACACACCCAAAAGCCAGGAATGAGGAGCTGGAAACGGGGGGGGGGGAATGGACCCAGGGGACCCATGCATCCATTAGTCAACAGACACTCTCACCGGTGAGCCCCGAGGTTGATGCAGCTGATGCCCAGATTATAGCGGGAACGGATGTAGCCAGGTTGCAGCTCGAGGGCCCGGCGGTAGGCAGCTACGGCTTCTTCACTCTGATTTCCATTGGCCAGGGTGGCTCCTAGCTTGTTCCACAGCAAATAGTCCTGGGATGGAGACGCTGACACATCAGGCACACGAACTCTCTCCACCCCCACGCCCTCCCCACTCTGTTGTGCCAGCAGGGGTGGCCCCTCCCACTCCTTTCTCAACAGTTGGCCACAATGTTAACTCTCCACCCAGGCAGACTCTGCTCTCATATCCCGGTGACCCTGGACTCCCACCCTTCTCTCCTCAATCCTCCCCGGGCAAGCAGCCTAGGGAACACTGGGAAAAACAGCCCATGGCTCCCAGAGTCCCAACAAAGGACCCGTCCTCCCCGGAGGCTCACATTGGGGCGAACACTGAGAGCGGCTGTGAAACAGTCCACGGCTTTGTCATACTCCCCACTGAGGTTGAAAAGGACGCCGAGACCGCACTGCACATCAGGGTCGATGGAAGAAGGGTCCAGGCGCACAGCTGCCAGAAAGAGCTCTTTAACTTCAAGAAACAGGGAGCTGGAGGAGGAGTCGGGGAAACACAGAAACTAAGTCAGTAGACGGTTATGTTTACATTGCCACACCCTCCACGGTGAACTCCTTAGTCAGCCAACCACGTGTCCAAGATCCCAGCCGTCCCAAACTCTAACCCAGAAACCGGTTTTTCTGCTTCACTCTAACACTAACCTGTAGAACGGAGACCTTCTCCTCCAAGTGGGTCCCATGGTCCCCATCCCAGTATTGGGCCCCTGGGTCTCAATGAACCCACACTTCCGAAATCAGGTCCCATCTCCCCCCCTGGGACTCGGTCCCTCGCACTCACTCAGATACGAGAGATCCCAGGACGCGCTTGCCAGGGCCGAGCCCTGCCCCACTGGCCCCCTCTTCGCTCTGGGGCACCAGGTGGGCGTAGGCAGGTGTGCAGCGCAGCCAGTCTCGCAGGGTGTCACAGGCCTGGCGCTGCAGGGACTCGTTGGTGAAGCTGACCGCCAGTGCCATCAGTGCTGTCCGGTTGTCCGGCTTTAGCTCCAGGCATCTGTTGGGACAGAAGAGGGCGGGCCTGGCATCAGCAGTGGCACTGGCACCCATCAGTTCCCAGCAATTGAAACCAAGTGTCCTGATGCGGATCAACAGCCTCACCAATCCAACCACAACCCACCCCACCCCTCGCCCCTCACCCCCTACCCACCCTCCCCAAGGAGAGATCCAGAGGCATCCTCTGGCATGGGAGCTAATAGTCAAGGTGCAGCTCAGTGAAGAGGCAAACGCCAGTGACCAAGGAACCAGCCGTGGCCTCACCAAGAAATCCAAAGCTGGTGAAGAGACTAGAGCCAGTTATCGCCAACTCTCTCTCAACTTCAGTGTGATAGAAATCACTCGTGGTCGTGGCCAGAGGAAGACAAGGAACTGGGCCTGGGCTCCTACCCTCCTGCACGCTCCTGCAGAGACCTGCAGCCACCCCTCGCCCCACCTTTCTGTGTACTCACCTGCGCAGCGCACTGATGGCTAGCAGTTCTTGCTCATTCTCGGCCTGAGTGGTACCCAGGTACTGCCAGGCCTAGAGGGAAGTTGACAGATCCCATCACCCTTGGATGCACCTTCCCATCCTCTCCTACTCTGCTGCCCTGGCTCACCATCTTGCTCTCAGCCCTCGGCCACCGGCCAGCACGCAGGCCCTAACCCAGCTGCACTGCCCAATCTAGGGCTGCGCTCAGCAGCAGGAGGCAGGCTCCAGGAGAACGCGCCACTCACTTCCATGTGCTCTGGGTCCTGCTGCACGGCCGCCTCAAAGAGCAGCACAGCATTTGGCAGGTCCCCCCCCTGAAGTCGCCGCAACCCTTCCTCAAAAGGCTGGGGGTGGTCACGCAGGGGGTTCTCCTCCTCAAAGTGGTACCCCTGCAAGGAAGGGAGGCAAGTGAGAAAGCCCTCCGGGGAGAGCTCAGGGGTCAAAGCAGCGGATGGGAGGATGAGCCTCAACGGGGATGAGGAAGAAAGAAGCTGGGGCCCAAGAGGACACGGGGATTACAGGCCACAGGTCATCGTGTCTGGCTCGAGTCAAACCATCCCGTGTCAGGCTCACACTGCCTCTCCCGCTCACAACTCGTGGGGAGCGAGGCAGGAGGACAAACGCCGACCCATGAGAGGGGTGAGTCCATTCCAGGGAGTCTTCGATAGGCCTGCGTTTCCACATCCGGAATGCTCACCAGGTAGAAACACTCAAACCATTCTCAGTTCGCAGGCCACAGAAAATGAGGTCACGGGCCAAGCCCAGCCCTAGACCATTAGAACTCAATAGAATAAATCCTTCTGCACTCCACCTTAATATTGTCCATCATCAATCCATATGTTGCACCACCCTGTAGGGAAAATAAATGATTGTCATCTACCTTTAAGTCCATTTCCTAATGAAAACAATGTTTGCCTTCTCAGAGCTACTGAGAGCATCAAATGAGACTATACGCCAGAGTCTCGCCAAGAAGTTTTAAATACTCTAATAGATACTATCCTCATTGCTTTGAATACTTCCTTAATATATACCAAAACCAAACTCACTGCCGAGTAGATGCCGACCAGGGCCTGTTACTACACAGGCAGAACTATAAAATGGTACAACCACTATGACAAAAAGCATGGCACTGCCTCAGGAAGCGAGAAATAGCAATGCCTTACGACCCAAGGACAGATACAGGCACATCTAGAATCACTGCAGTACGCCTCACCAGAGCAAAACCGACAGGCGACGTGTACACACTGTCCATGCAGACAAGGGAATCCCACGCAACTGTCAATGAGGCGGAGTCCCCCAAGCACAGCATGAGTGGATCTGAGCAAAGTAAGTCAATCACAGTAAGACAGCTATCGTACAGTCTCACGTTCATAAAATACCCAGGATAGGTACACACACAGAGAGCAGTGACCGAGGATGGCGAGGAATGGGAGGGAGAGGGAGGAGGGATCTCTTTCTCAGCAGTAAACAGTTGTTCTTTTGGTGATAGGAAATTCAACACCAAGTACTGGAGAAGTCTGCCCAATTTATCCAAGGTTAATCAAGACCCTAAGAAACATATATGGGTGATTTTGGTAAATGGTTTTTGTAACATGCAGTTTTGTAACAACAATTATAACAAGAAATATGTGTGTGGTTACACAGGTAGACGTGAAGTCTTGTATGCATACATGGGAGTATGTAGGCACATAGAGTATAAGAGAGTGCATACACAGATGCACCTGCTGCCATATGTATATACACGTTTATATGCACTGCATGTGTGTTCACATACATACTAAACCACATAGGGGTCATGGTCACAGCTACTACCTAGACATAACCAGACCCCTCTCGGGATTGGTATCCTAGGCTTGAAGACTCGGACCACGTGTCCTGGGACGACCTGATCAACCAAGTTCATAAAGAAAATGGTCTATATCCCAGTTTAGTGAGTCACGAAAAGCTGCAAGCCACTCCCTAAGATATAACTATTGTTCTCTACTTATGTGGAGCAAACCGGAAATGATAGAAGCCAAAGACTCCTACATTAGTCCAGCGGACAAACAGAACATGTCTCCCTCATCTAGCCCGAGACCTGCGCACATTACACAGGGCTCAGCTCCCACGGCTGACCGTTCTAACCAGGGACACAACCGAAGGTCCCAGAGAGAAGGGGAGAAAACCGTAGAAAAACACTCAAATCCCTAAAAAAGGGCACACTGACTGGGCCATCGGAGACGAGAGGAAGACTACCACTCTAACACAGTCCTGCGAACTCAGAAGTGAGGCCATTCCGTCGTCACCTTTGTCCAGATACCAGACTGGCTTAGAAAACGCACACCATATCGCCTGTGACTGCTGTGCTTCATCAGACAAACAGCTACGTGAGGCCAACACCCGCACACACCCTAGAACAACGGTGGAAGCTACAGGAGGACAGGGAGCCGGAGTACGGGAGACAAAGAAGAAGAAGGAAATACTGAGAAGCTGGACAATACTCCGGGAAATGCAACCAAGCTCACTGAACTCCATCAAAATAAACTTCCACTTGAAACACCGTACTACTACATCATACACACACGTGTGTGTGCCTGTGTACGGCAATAGGCGTGATTGGGATGTCCTTTATGTCCCTCCAATGCAACAGATCAGTGTCATCCTCCTGCAACCACAATGCTGGTTCCTTATCTGTGCGAACTATCCTTCTTGCAGGACTGGCTAGAGAAGAGTTTTCCAATACTAGAATATGTGCATAAATGAAAAGAGCATTCTGGAGAAACTCTTAGCACCCACAGCATTCAGGATGGGGCTGGCAGTACTGCCGTGACCTCGAAATCTATGCAAGCTAATCACCATAAGGGTTCCTAGTCCACAACAACCTTCTATATCCCACTCTGGTCAGTGGCAACTAGGGTCTCGGGAGGTCCCGAGTGGCCATCTAAGGTGCCAATATTAGTCTCTCTCCACCCAGTGCCAAGAGTGAAGACAAAGATGCAGAGAACCCTTAGCCCAAAGGACTAGTGGACCACGCCAACCTCCACCTCCACAACCCTTGAGACCAGAGGCCAGAAACACAGTGTCTGCTACCACTACCAAGTGCACATCAGAAGGTCCCGGACACAGCAGAAGAGTGCGGTCCAAAACTCAAAAGCATAATAGACCGGGCTGGCAGGTCAGACAGGCACTGGGAGAACCCTTGAGACTGGCCCTTCGCCATCCTTCAGGTCTGGAAATGAACTCACCCCCAAAGCTCAATTTTCAGCAACACCAGACAGGTCGATAGGGAAGCCAATAACCCTAGGAAGGTACACTTGAGAATAATTAGTCCTTTAAGATAAAAAGGGCAGCATTTAATCAGAAGGGACAGGGAGGAGGAATGAAAACAGGAAACACAAGGAGGAAGCGGGACAGGTAATGTTACACAGTAGGGACTGCAATTAATAGCATGAAACAAAGTGTGTGTCAATTATTGAATAAAAAAAATGATTTGCTCTGTAAGCCTTCACCCAGTTCACCATACAACATTAACAACAACAAAAACAAAGATATTGAGATGTGGAGTCAAAGTACCACTCCCCACCGAGGGAGTTCACAATCTTCTCCAATGGGTCACAATCTGCATCAGGTGCAAGCCCGGACTCGTTCCAGATACTGCGTTGCGTTGTCATATCCACATACGGTAACGTTCACCGTGCTGCAGCCCAAGAAGACCCACTGGAAGACTGGAGAAGGGCTGGAGCAAGGGGCCGACTCACACTTCTTTTAAGGGAAGGGATCCGGAAAATGAGAATATTCAACGTGAGCATCTTTCAGTTACAGAATCAGAGGAGAGACAATGAAAGAAATTCTGGAACCAGAAAAGCGAGTCCTTACCTTATCATAGGAAGCAGCTGCGAGGTCATCAAAGTCGGACAACCAGGGGTGAGCCTCGGCATCTCGCTTGGCCATCTCCTCCAACTCTGCCTGCAACTTGTCCCAGAAATCGACATCAGACTGTAAGGACGGGAAGGGAGATGCAACCAGAGACTCCTCGTGGTCACCCTGCCACCCTCGGTCCACGCAGACTCGGGCTCGAGGGAGTAGGCCTGCAGTTTCAGGAAGGCTCTCGATCCTGGAAAGCTCTCTTAAGACACGGATGTTTCCGATTCTGGCCCCTAACAGTCAGAATCAGCATTTTCGAAAAGGCACTCCCCGGCCCGGCCCCTAATTCCGACACAGCTGGCCCAGGAATGCTATGAAATGCAGTCACCCTCCCCTTCGATGTCACGAACACCCACTCCTGCTGAGGGAGTCTTCCTCTTGGGGGCCTGTGCCTGGCTCCCTGGGCTCACCTCTACAGCCGACTTGGCTCTCTCAAACTCCACATCCAGGGCCGAGGTGTTCGCGGGTCTCGTGAACTGGTCAACCCAGGCCTCCGAGGTTCCCTGTGACAAAGAACGCTGCTCACCACCACCACCTCTGCATCCCCCGCACCGCAGCCAGCACCCCCACACACACACACACACACCACCACCCACCTCAACACTCCTGAGGAGGAGCCCCTCCTCGGCACCTCTTTCCCACCCAGCTCAGTCCCTGTGCGCTACCGGGAGAAGCTGGCCAGAACAACCCCTCCCCATCGAGGACCGCTGCACCCCGAGCCCGAAAGCCGGGGCCACCAGCTGCTCCTGAGGTGGGACTAGGACGCGTCAATGTCCTACCTGCTGCTGAATAAACTCTGCTGCCCACTGTTCTGCCTGAGCTTGGCCCGACCCTGCACCGGACTCCAGAGACACCTGCCCCTCGCCAATCTGCCGCACGAATTTCAGGAACTGGGGCACAGAAACACACATGGGCCACTGGGGAGAGGACTTCCAGGTGTGCTCTCTGAACCATGCCCAAGAGGACCCTGCACTCTCTCCTCCCCTGACCACCTCTAGCTGCAAACAACGTGTGCTGACAACCCTGGCCAGGAAAAAGGGAGAGCGGGAGAGAATAACGGGAGACGGAGTTCTGTCTCCAAAGGTGGAAGAAAGCATCAGAACCGAGAAAAGGAAACAAGGAAACGAGGAAACGAGGAAACGAGAGAGAGAGAGAGAGAATACTGGAAAGGAGACACAGCCCCTAAGTCTGCTCTCTGGACAGGAAGGAAAAGACCTCTTTAAATGGGGGCAAGAGAAGCCAGCCTCTTGCTCGAGAAGCCGTAGGATATGGCTCACCTCAGAGTTAGCAAGCTTGGGGTCATCCACCTTGGCCACGAAGTCACTGGCTGTGTGCTGCAGGTCCTCCTCAGGGTGATATTCATCGTACCTGAGAAGGTGAGGCTTAATCTCACGTGACAGTCGTCTGCCACCTCCCCTGCCAGCCCCGACTTCCAGCCCATGGCAATCAGAGTTCCTATGAGGAGGGAGGGAGGGGGACACCACTCCAACTCCTATTTGCATTAAAGGAGGTCTTTGGGGCGGGAGTGGGAACGCAGCTACAGCCTTTTACCTCTCCCTTTCCCAAGCATCATACTTTCAGAGCGAAAGAACAAACAAGAGCAAGCTCAACTCTCCAAAGGGAAAGGAGTGCAAAGGGTAAGGCTATCAGAACTGGGTAGGATCCCTGGTGGTCTAGTGGTTATGCATTGGGCTGGGACCCGCATGGCTGGCCGTTTGAAACCAGCAGCAGTTCTGGGGAAGAAAGACTGGGCTTGGTACTCCTGCAAAAGGGGACATACAGGTACAGCCTCAGAAACCCTCCGGAGGGTCACTGTGAAGCAGCACTGACTCAAAGGCATGGAGTTTGTTTTGGGTTTTGTTCATCAGAGTCCAGTAGGGTTTAGTTAGGACTCTTGGCTTCACAACATGTGAGAGGCTGATTGGTGCAATAAATAGCACTGGAGGAAACCTTAAAAATGAAAGTAGGAAAGAAGGGATTGCACATTGCTTCGGGAGGATGTGGCTGGAGAAGGCTGGAAGGAGCCGTCCTCTCCAGGAATCCAAAGCACAGTGGCGGGGCTCACCAGCGATCAGCGGTGGTTGTCCCCTCAGACTCCCCCAGCCACAGCTTCTCCTCTGACTGCTCCAGATATTCCTCAGCCCAGCGGGCAGGGGACACCGACAAGGGGTCTGCAAGGAGCAGAGAAGGGGAAATCACGTCAGGTCCACTGAGGGGCCAGGGAAAGGGAGGGTAAGCACATATGCAACCAATCCCCTTCACGAAGCCAAATCAGACGAAGCTCCATGGACTCCCTTGGACACCCTGGTTAAAAGGAGAGACTCCATTTCCAACATGACCTTCAGTACCCAGCCCACGCCAGAGGAACCATGAGAAGGCATTTACTGTGAGTTGTGAACAAAGGACCACAAGACGCAGCTCAGAAAGGATGAGGGATCACACTCTTCCCCTTCAATTATTAGAGGCCGCAGGAAGGGCAAGTAGGCACCAGGGCCTCACTTTACTAGAAGGGATTGCAAGGAACTGGAAAGGAGTTGAGGGAGAACAGAAGGCTCTGAACTGCTCGCCCTCGGTCCAGAATCCGCACCGCCCCAACAAGACTCCACGTGGCACCAAGAGAATCTGCATGGAAGAAAGCCGGGCGAGGACGAAAGAAACATGGGCCCCTCTTGCCAGTGGGCGCTCGTTCATGCTGTTCTCATTTTTAAAATGCAGTATCACAAGCCAACAAGGAGGCACACAGAGTGGGCCAAACAAGCACAGTGACTGCCTAATTGCTACTTCCACATGAATGCAGGCCTAGAACCACCACCCAGCAGATCAAGGCACAGAACCCTACAGTGTCCCGGAAGGCTGCAGGCTCTCCCGCGCCTCGTGCCACCATCAGCCCAGCAGGACTTGGGTCATCTGAGTCTAGGTTTGCGGGGCTGTGTTCTTAAGTCAAACTCCAGACACAGTTTCAGAAACGAGGGACAAGGGCACTGCTGCGCACCAGGAGAAACAAGTCAGAGGGTGAGGGTCTGCGCTGGGCTCAACCTCCCGGACTTTGCTCTTCACTGTCCTGGGGCAGGCGGGGAGGAAGCCAGAGGAGCAGAGACAAGATCATTGCAACCGGCCCTGCAGGAGTGGGCCCAGGTCCACAGCTCTGCAAAGCACACACTTGGAATGGCCGTCCTCGTGACACCCAATGTCAACAGCTGGCTGTTGCTGCATTTCATACTGAGAAGCCAAGACGTGGGCCCTCGGTGTGATTGCCTAACAGAACTTTCAGTTCATTTTAACTTTGCCAGCATGTTTTTACCAAATTGATCTCCACAGCTGAGAAAGTCAGCTCAAAATGTGGAGGAGGGGGAAAAAAGGATCAAGACGTTCAAGATATGCCTAATTGTAAATAGTAA